ACCGAAAGATTTGCACGGTCGTAAGCGCGCAAGCAAGCAAGTGAACTTAATATAAAGGATTTAAAAAAGAGGATCGGGACTTGAGTCGGTGCCGAGGTCCATTGTTGACGTCTTCATTGATGATGGGTAGGTGGTTGTCATTGCCAAGACAACGTCTAAACTCCCTTGAAGTTTGTATGTCTCTGCAGATAGGGATTGGTGTCATGTTCAGTGTTCTGGTTACAATGCACGTCACATTATTCCATTGTGCATCTAGCAATTTTGTCTGCGAGCTCCCCGATCAAGCCGGAGCATAGTGACTCTGCCACTGAGTCGATCAGTGAGGGGGTGGCAGTTCGTAGTGCATCAGCGGAGGCGCCCCCAGGTCGTCCCTGCAACTTTCTGTAGCAGGGCGATTATTGATTTGGTCTTTTCAGAGATCTTTTTTTTGTTGGCTAACTTCAACAGGCAGCAGAGAGGTCAATCATTGCTGTTCCGGTTCTCTGTTGGCGCTGGAGACCAGTTTCTATGAGGGTGGTGAAGGCAGCAATTTGCTCACATGTTGTTGAGGGGGGTGTCACCCCTCACCCCTCGCTGCGTCTTGCCTCGCCACACAAGGGGCAGCTGGAGGATAGTCATAAAATGTAATTGTCGTGACATCAAGGATGTCACTGTATGGTGTCGGTCCGAGAGGGCCGTGGCGTGTGATGTCCCTACATCGCGGACAGCACCGGGTGGGTTGCTGTGTGAGGCCGGCTCTAGCACAGCAAGGCGTGCGATGCACTGTCATCACGTACACCGTGTAGGTGGGTGTAGTACCAGCCCTAGCGGGCTTGGTGAGCGCTGGGATAGCGCGGGCACCACGCATAGCGTGTAGTGCGGGCCCCCACAAGGGGGAGTGGGAGAGTGTCAGCCCAGGGGCAGGGTTGCCCCGGGCCATAGCACTCTGGTTGACCCCGTAGACACGTGATCCGGAGTGTCCACAGAGAAGACCCCAAGGTGGGGGGGTTAGGGAGTGATCACGTGTCCGGGGAGAGCTCTCGAGAGGGATCAAGAGGGAGCTAGAACGCTTGAGAAGGCGGGCAGGGCCAAGGGTGGAGCGGCTTCGACCCGGGGAGATATAAGGTGGGTCCCTGGAAGGGACCAGGGTTCTTCGTTCTACAAGCTGGAATCTCCACGTCTACAAGCTGGAAGCTCTCTCTACGAGGCATCAACACGTGATCGGGAACCCGAGTGAGGGTCTGACCCTTCGTAGCTGTAACTCCTACGTACAGTATAGTGTAGTTAGCTGGGTGGTCACCACCCTAGGCTGTATCTGGTGAATGGGCAGTTACCCCTTTGTGTTAACGGGTTGATGTTACAATAAAAGTGTTGCCTCTAAAGAACGTCTGAGACTCAGTTGGACTGAGTCTCCGACGACGTTTGCACGAGTTCCAGATCATAGCAGCCTCGACTGTGAGTTGGAGCTCGCCTTTTATCCTGCCCAGCGATGCCAGGCTCCGCCCTCGGCCCCGCACCCCTCTGGATCCCCCAGAGGGCTCCATGCCTTGCCCACAGGTCCAACTGGTAGAACGGGCTGCTGCCCTTAATTCCATTGTCTACCAATCTCCGAGTGGCACGCGCTACAGTGACTCATTCAATGCCACTACAATTACATACACTTGCATAACGTCATACAATTACACCTTCATTTTAATATCACGATTGATAATACCCCTAGGCAATAAAGCAGAGTTCAATTAGCATAAATGTATACATTTGCATAATTACATATTTTCTTAATTTCGTTAAATGACACATTTTTTATTTTCGCTAAATTTTTATTATTTTTCAAGACAATATATACAACACGCAGGAGCAGGAGATCTACTCCATTATCGACCCCCAACTGCCTCAAGAGGCAGTTGGGGGTCGATAATGGGGGAAAGTTCCATGAACTTGGAGGTTGAGAACAAGAGGGATATTGGCCTGCAGCTGGAGGGCGATTCTTGCGCATTTTGGGGTTTCAGAAAGGTGATGAATTTGGGTTCCATTCAGTGCCGGATTATCCTAGTAGCAAAAATAGCATATGTTACGCGACCCGCACTTTCAAGTGCCCCGCGCTAAATGCTTTCAAGCTATCAATTCCGGTTCAGTGATTCTGCACTTGCTCTATTACTATAGTACTATACTGCCTTCAACAATTATGAACGACTGGGTGTTTAAGGTTTGTCGTGTTATCTGGCTGTATAGAAAATGAAAAAATACAATTACTTTACTGTGCAAGTTATACATTTGTGTTGAAATATTGGTTTTTATTTTATTTAGGGCCCATTTATAACATATGTTACATGTCCCGCACTAGCTTAATCCGGCACTGGTTCTATTCATTTGGGATTTTGCCTGACCTGTGCATGACGGTTTAGACTTTAGAGGCTTGCATGCCATTGTCGTTCATAGAATCCCAAGTTTTGTAGGAAGTCAGGACACAGGCCATCAAACCCCCATTGCCTTGTTGGACTTTGTGGCCATGACGGCCGCTTCGATTTCAGTGACCGTGTATGGTTTCCTTAGATCTGTTACTTGGGGTAGCTGACTCAAGTTGATGGCGAGTTATTTCCAGACGGTATGTTTGGTGAGCTTGTCCATTGGTGCCGTTGAGCAGGGCAGCAACGCGTGGGAAGCCGCAGCGCGTGGGAAGCCGCAGCGCGTGGGAAGCCGCAGCGCGTGGGAAGCCGCTGCGCGTGGGAAGCCGCAGCGCGTGGGAAGCCGCAGCGCGTGGGAAGCCGCAGCGCGTGGGAAGCCGCAGCGCGTGGGAAGCCGCAGCGCGTGGGAAGCCGCAGCGCGTGGGAAGCCGCAGCGCGTGGGAAGCCGCAGCGCGTGGGAAGCCGCAGCGCGTGGGAAGCCGCAGCGCGTGGGAAGCCGCAGCGCGTGGGAAGCCGCAGCGCGTGGGAAGCCGCAGCGCGTGGGAAGCCGCAGCGCGTGGGAAGCCGCAGCGCGTGGGAAGCCGCAGCGCGTGGGAAGCCGCAGCGCGTGGGAAGCCGCAGCGCGTGGGAAGCCGCAGCGCGTGGGAAGCCGCAGCGCGTGGGAAGCCGCAGCGCGTGGGAAGCCGCAGCGCGTGGGAAGCCGCAGCGCGTGGGAAGCCGCAGCGCGTGGGAAGCCGCAGCGCGTGGGAAGCCGCAGCGCGTGGGAAGCCGCAGCGCGTGGGAAGCCGCAGCGTTCACTGTGGTTGTTGACGACATGTGCCCTGTTGGCTTTTATATGCCCATCGGTTCTAGATAAGCTTCAAGGCTTTACGACTGGACTGAGTGAAGGCCAAGTCGGCAATCACTGCAGCAGTGCTGTGCTGTGCCCTTATTTTAGTCACCAGCTTTAATGACCTCTTTCAACAGTTCTGTTTCTGGTTGACAACATTCATATAGGATAACCCCTCGGGATGTTGTTTTTGTGTGGCAGATGTCATAATTTTTATAAATGTATTGAAGGTTTCAGGCTGTGGCTCCGGGTTCTTCAATTGGGCGTCGGGCTTCAGTCGGTCTTCAGAGAGTTCCAACGTAGTCATGGTGTTGAGGTGATGCCCGGTATCCGTAATCCACTGTGCATCACTGCCGGTCCATGTTGGCTATTTGTAAAATTGCAGATAGTTCGTGAATTGGTTAGTGGTGTCCGTTCTTGTCCTTTCGAACGAAGCGTGGAGTTGGGGTTGTTTAAAGCCATAGATTGTCCCATACAACCCACACCAAATTAAGCGAATTGTATAATGTATTATTTCAGTGAATATGTCCAAGACCCAAACCCAAAGAAAGACAACTCTGTCATAAATCGCAATAACATTGGAACAAGCACATCCTATTGATTTGTGCATGTGTTTTTAATTATAGTCTTAATAAATTTACACAAATTAAGTGACAATACTCTAAATTATAGTTTTACTAATGCTACTCTATTCTCTGGATTAAACTTCCATAGGCGGAAGATACTTCTGGTAGAATGGTAGAGATAAAAAAGAGATTACTTAGTTTCAAGAAGGCTCTTTCAAGAGGCACCTGAGAAGGTGAACATGCGTAGATTTAGAAACCTGAGAATATATCACATTGGATGTATGTTAAACTTCTTTCACACCTAACGTAGCCAACCATGCTAATCGATGGTGCGGGGAAGGACAAGAAACTAAACACAAAAAGCAGTTTAAAGAAATTCGTTTTTAAACTAGATTATTTAAAAGTGCATAGCTCCATTGGCTTCCTAATATCAGAAGGAACAGCATTCCACGCGACCGCAGAAGCGCACCCGAAAGCACGCGATCTAGCGACCGTCTTTGTTCGATGGCGAGCCATAAGCCATTTTAGCAGACAGGAGAGTCTTCTGTCGAAAGAAACGAAAGGAGGCCATTCCATCTCGTAAAATATCGTGGCGGGCATCTCGGACGAGGCTGAGTCCCCCTGAAAAATTCCTTCAAATCACTTGGAGAGCTTCATGGAGTTCACCAGGGGGCCGCATGGAGAAAACTGTGACCCATTGGATCCACAAGTGAACCGCTTGGGGAGCACTGCTGCCAACCTTGATCTTCTTTATTATAGATTCATGGGAACTGGCGCGGACAGACATGCAATGTTCATCTCTTCATAACAGTGGAATTTGGCGGTGGTCGCCAGTGAAAACTATGCTTAGCGCATTGCAGCGGTTAATTGGAATTTATATATCTGGCTACGTTTTATTGGCGGCAGTTACAATCAAACAATCATTAAAGGATCATCTTCATCACCCGTTACATGTGTATCAGCAATACGTGTCTAATTTCATTCGTGTGGTTTACTTTGTCACGTCTGATTATAATCCTTCTGCTTTTAATCTCTCCCACGTTTCCAATTCACAAATTTACCCTCGCTCAGACGTTCGCCTAAAGTAACCAGCATGAGATTGACCATCGAGCCATGGCAGTCGCGATAATCGTGCCTCTCACACCGTGCACGATGGCCCTGGGAGCCTCTACGTTTCACGAGATAACGTGAGAACTTTGCACTCATGGCCATAACCCTCGAGATGCCGCTAGGCACGCCTTCGAGTACACGCACGAACTGTCTCCTGCGCAGCGTGCCTCAGTAGATAGGAGGGAAGTGGTTTCCATTGGCACCCCGTAGGACTGAGCGGGTGGTGTAGTCGTGATCCCCATCTCAGCGATGTCGTCTCTTCACCGCACGCTTCTTCTCACGGTGTTCATCACTCATTTGACCGGAATCCAGGTATGTCTCCCTCTTTAGTGCCCGTGTCGATACACGCTTCACCTAAAACTAAACTTTTTTTTTATTTTACCAGGCAAAGCCCACTGAGCTATGTATCTCTTTTTCAGAAGCGACCTGGCCATAAATGATAGCTCAACGAAGTGGCTTATCACGTGGAAATGTATAGCGGCCAAGTACTCTAAACGCATATTGATTTTAAATGTGGAGGGAAAAAACGGAGAAACCGGAGAAAAAAAATCCACGCGACCACGGAGAGAACATGCAAACTCAACATATACAGATGCCAGGGTCGGGATCGAACTCACGATCTCCTGTATACCAAGCGAAGTAGTTAACATCTCGCCACCGCGGCGCTACCTACAAGGCCCACGAGGGCGCTTTGCCTCTCGTTCATCCAACCGAGAGGGTCAGCGGGAGAGCGAGCGGTTCGCAATGATTAGAAGGTTGGGAGTTTAAATACACATTGGGGGTTTGCCTCACACCATCATCCCTGCGTGGTTGATTAAATGAGTACCACTTTGTAGGGAGGTCAACAGTGGTTGTCCTCTGGAGAGGTCTTGCACCCGCATTAGGAACGTGTAATATTCACCACTGGCTCAGGACTATTTGATAAGGTGATATGTTTGACTCGATAACCAACAAACGCCATCGTAGTTGTGCATTGGAATCTGAGCTTGCAAGTCTGTAAGCTGCGACGAGTTTAGCAATTGTTCTGTAATGTGACTCAATGAAGCTTACTGAAGTGTTTGTTATCCAGTTGAGATGTGCATACCTGACAACCCCTTTCAGTGCCGATCTTATATTGATCACTCTGTGCCTTTATAAATTTCAACGTTCATTCTAAAAGGTCCCTTCACAAGGGACAAACAAACAAATAGACAAAAATATATTTTATTTGCCCGTATTGAAACAGCTGTACGCCGTATGGACCTGAAAACTCAATTTCCCTTTTCAAGAATACGAGTGAAACGTATGGGTTGACAGCTATGGGTATGCGTTGGGACTCAATAGTTCCCCATGTGACTTGCCTCAGGCGATCATTGCACGTTTAATCCGCCTAGTTGGACCTATAAATTTTGATTTAAAGCTTTCGTGACTGCAGGGATTCATCTTCTTGGTTCTTTCGGTAAAGTCACGTAGAAGGGAAGTAACAAAATAAAAAAAATAAAAAATAATAAAAATAAAACATAATAAAATTATTCTCACGACGTTTCGGCCACAACGCAAGCAGCCGTCCTCAGGTGAAAACCAGGTCCGTCGAGGCGACAGAGTCTGAATGAAACAGCACACGAGCTTGGAGCATATATATAAGCTGGGCGCATTGACAAAGGAATTTGCATATCAACAGGAATTTAGCATATTTATGGCAAATGCAGGAATGTGATTAGTACTGCATATGCATGTGCATTATGCAGGATTAACAGCATTAACAGCATCAAAAGGAGCTGCAGTTGCTGCTGCTGCTGCTGCTGCAGTTGCTGCAGCAACTGCAGCAGCAGCAGCAGCAACTGCAGCTCCCTTTGATGCTGTTAATCCTGCATAATGCACATGCATATGCAGTACTAATCACATTCCTGCATTTGCCATAAATATGCTAAATTTCTCTTGATATGCAAATTCCTTTGTCAATGCGCCCAGCTTATATATATGCTCCAAGCTCGTGTGCTGTTTCATTCAGACTCTGTCGCCTCGACGGACCTGGTTTTCACCTGAGGACGGCTGCTTGCGTTGTGGCCGAAACGTCGTGAGAATAGTTTTATTATGTTTTATTTTTATTTTTTTATTATTTTGTTACTTCCCTTCTACGTGACTTTACCGAAAGAACCAAGAAGATAGTTGGACCTATGATTCAAATCAACGCATTGAAAGAAAACGGTATTCGGTTTGGCAGGAATGATCTCCAATTAGCACGGTTGGCTACGTACGGTGGGAAAGAAGTTCAACACACATCGTGAAAGGAAGGGAGCTGCGATCGTGGGGTCATGGCGAGCGCATTGGACTTGCAATTCAGAGGTCGCCGGTTCAATTCCATGTCCTGGGCGACAGTTGAACCGTTGGAGGAAACTTTCTCAACACCCCCCCCCCCAACTCTGTCCACTGAGCAGCAGCAGCCGTGTGAAAGGGGGTCAACCACAGTGAATCAGCAGTGTGGGTACTCCCACCTCTTCCAACACACCTGATCAGCATGGAAGAGTGGACCATATACCGTAACCCTCTGGAGCTCCCTTGAGTGCAGGAGGTCTTCCGCCAGCAGTGGTGCGAGCCAGCACTTGCAGGCAGAAGTGAACTGGGATAAAAAAAATAGGCCCAGGAATTTGCAAACACACCGGGCCAAAATCGGGGCTCTGGAGTAGCTGCGAGACGTTGCGATGTGACGTAGCGTGGTGTTACCGTGGTGTTACCATGGTGTTACCGTGGTGTTACCATGGTGTTACCGTGGTATTAACGTGGTGTTACCGTGGTGTTACCGTGGTGTTAGCGTGATTTTGACATGCGATCTCACTGACCCATTTAGGGCTGGGTCCAAAAAACAAATGGGTAGGCGGTGAGGAAGAATCTTTGGGGCTGCCGAATTTGGGGGCTTAATGCCAACTGAGAGTGTAAGGTAGCAATGAAGCGGGGAACATTAGAGGTAATAACATATTTTAATACATAAATATAGTCGTTAAATTTCGATTTAAAGCTTTCGTGACTGCAGGGATTCATCGTATTGGTTCTTTCGGTAAAGTCACGTAGAAGGAAAAAAATATAGTCGTTTTTTTTTACTCAGACCACATTTGCAATTTCCCCACAAAGACCGGCCCACCGGTCCTCGAAATGGACCAACCCACCGAGGCATTTGCCCTATGGACTGCTGCCCTATGGCCAGTTCGGGGTTTGCTTTGCCTTATCGCTGAGACACGAGGGCACGTGTCACCACGCCGTGACTTAGGCCGATGTGATGTTTCTGCGTTCACACAAGCTGATCGCTGCACCGTTCGTTACTCGCGTTCCACAATAAACGGTGACCGATTCCTGACGTTTTGGAACCGTTGATCGGTTGTGAAAACGGTTATCGGGAAACAGCCGTATTTGGAAACGGCCGCGGTGTTTGTGTGCGAACCGATTATGGTTTGACCACAGCTGTTCGGCTTGGTGTGATCGAGCAGAATGTGGAGGGAGGGAGGTAGGGTTGGTTGCTCACACAGAACCAGTGGCGTAGTAACTTCATTATATCAGCTCAGGGGGTGCGGCAATCGGTCAGGTGGGGCCCCGATATTCAATTTGTCTAGCACGGTCGCACGCTTGGCTATTTCATATCGCGGGCTCCTCTTGCCTCATCACATCGCCGTTCGGCTCACGGTCTCGGACATTTGACGCTGTAGGGGGCGCTCCGCCTTTGCCAAATGCAGCCACTGCAGCTCCGTAGCAGTTACCTCTTTGCGATATAATTGACGTTACTGCTCTAATTACATTAAAATAAAACGTGGATCATAAATGAAAGCATTTTCATTAAGATACATTTTAACCGCGTTTCAAATAAGTTGCGTTCTTTTGCACTATTGTTTAAAACAAATCTCATGGTGGTTGTCAAGGGGGTCCCAACTCGGGCTTTGTCCACCAGGGGAGGCCAAGGCACCCCCTGCTTGCCCCACGCTCGTTATGCTACTGCACAGAACTCGAATGACTGTTAAACACAGCACAGAAACAGTGCCGGATTAAGCTAGTGCGGGGCCTATACCTTATGATGTTATAAAGGGGCCCTAAAAAACATAAATATTAAAACACATTTTTTTACTTGCATAATAAAGTAATTGTATTTTTTCATTTGCTACACAGCCAGATAATACGACAAATCGCTAACCTTAAACACCCAGTCGTTGAAGGCAGTATAGTACTATAGTAATATAGCAAGTGTAGAATCACTGAACCGAAATTGATAGCTTGAAAGCATTTAGTGCGGGGCCCTTGAAAGTGCGGGGCCCGTAGCATTATGTAGCTACTTTTGCTACTGGGAGAATCCGGGACTGCACAGAAAGGAGGTGACTGCTCTGTTCATGTGGATATAAAGTTGGTGTCTTTAGTGATGTACGTAGCAGCATCACCCCCCACCCCCCCGAAGCGAACACTCTGCAGGACCCTGCTTCTGCACGTAGCTGTCTTCAGGGGAGTTGAGAGTCTGTGCGGATTTTCTGAGCAGACAAGCGGAATACAAATATAAATACATAATGCACCCGGATTGCGGCAGCCAGGTTACCGAGTCGCAACTACAAACGACCCCCAATTTCACATGGCACCACCGGCTCGCGGTCCAGTTCCAGAACAGCGACAAAAATCACAATCAGTATCTTCAACATCCTCCACAGACTCACCCCCACCTACCTCTTCCTTCTGTAATGCGAGCAAGGACAGGGTGGGCGCTGCCTCCGCACCACTCACACGGGCCGGTGTATTGGAGAGGCGGAGCCTGGTCGTCGGGGTGAGTGGGGGCGGAGACAGGGGCAGGATGAGAAGGTGGAGTTTGGGTCACGTGAGAGAGGGGATATAAGGGAGAGACGGAGGAGGAGCAGGGGGAGAAGAGAGTGAACGACAGAGGGGAGCCACGCTGGCGGTGAGGGGAGAAGTGGCGCCATTGCCACGTGGTTGGGGCCGATAGGCGTACTGGGGTGAAGTGTGCGCGGGCAGCGGAGCGAGCGGGTGCGCACGGGAGAGAGAGAGCCGGAGCGGGTGTGGGGGACCCGAAGGGCGGTGTGGCCCGAGCGGGTGAGGAAGAGCACACGGAGGGGCCGGAGGTGACGGTGTGGCGAGAGCCACACGGAGTGTGCGCGGGGTGCACGGCGAGGGTCGGAGCGAGGACCAGCGGGTATGAGGAAAAGAACCCAATAAAGGACCAACGGAGAGCGACAACGTGTGAAGGAGTCCTTTATTACACTTCTCATCTCACTCTCCCCGCCCCCTCCACGCATTCTCCTACGTCTCCCTTCTCATCTCACTCTACTGTGACGTGTCTTTAGGCGTGGTTATTCTTGCAGCATAAACATGTGTTTCATTCCTTGCGATGAAAAAAAGTAAAAACGATAACATTGGGACGATCTGTAAACGCCTCTCTGCTTGTGAACCAATAACCGAGCAGGCATTGCGACTGATGCAGCTGTGCGCTCTCTCTCTCGTTACAGTCCACTGCGGACAGGCAGCACACCGTGGGTGAGTGCCGCAGTTTTCGGTGGTCTGTGGCCATGAAACCCGGCGTGAGACATCATGACAGCCGCTCCGTGCATTTGGCCTGGCGCGTTAACTCGCAGCCAAATCGTCAAGTTCATCCGCATCTCATAACGCCCCAAATGTCACTCGTATCACAGGTAAAATACAATGTGATGACCACTCTCGACGTTATTCTTTTTTCTCAGAGAAAGATGTGGATGAAGGTCAAAAATGGGACATATTTGACATTAACAAGGGTAAGTTTCCATGTTCACGATGCTGCGAATTTTACCACCTACCCAGCCCCTACCACTCCAATTACTGCCACTCCTGTAATCCACCACACTTGTAATCCACCAGTCATATAATCCACCTCTTGTATATATTGTTATTACATTTTTTACATTTAATTAATATGGTAAAACACACACACAACAGCGGCTCATTTAATAATTCATGCATCAACTGCAGGAGATCCCGAACGAACAAACCCCAATATTTAGTATATATTTTATTTAACAAAAATTTTGTATCACAAAATATACAACACATCACTCCTATAATCTACTACTCCTGTAGTCCACCACTATTATAATCCACCACTCTTGTAACCCACCACTCCTATAATCCACCACTCCTGTAGTCCACCACTCCTATAATCCACCACTCCAAAATCCACCACTTCTATAATCCACTACTCCTGTAGTCCACCACTCCTATAATCTACCACTCCTATAATTCTCCACTCCTATAATCCACCACTTCTGTAACCCACCAACTCCAATAATCCACCACTCCTGTAATCCACCACGCCTATGATCCACCACTCATATAATTCACCACTCCTATAATCCAAGACTCCTATAATACTCCACTCCTATAATCCTCCACTCCTATAATCCTCCACTCCTATAATCCACCACTCCTATGATCCACCACTCCTGTAATCCTCCACTCCTATAATCCTCCACTCCTATGATCCACCACTCCTATAATCCACCACTCCTGTAATCCACCACTCCTGTAATCCACCACTCCTGTAATCCACCACTCCTGTAATTCACCACTTCTATAATCCACCACTCCTGTAATCCACCACTCCTGTAATCCACCACTCCTATAATCCACCACTTCTATAATCCACCACTCCTGTAATCCACCACTCCTGTAATTCACCACTTCTATAATCCACCACTCCTGTAATCCACCACTCCTGTAATTCACCACTTCTATAATCCACCACTGCTATGATCCACCACTCACATAATTCACCACTCCTGTAACCCACCGCTCCTATAATCCACGTGTGCCGTATCGAGCTCCGCGCATTGCAGTCGTGGGCAGCAGTGGGCAGAGTAACGCAGCCTCCGCTGTGCACCAACTTCCACCCACCCCCACGGTTAGCAGCACGTCACCTTCTCCGTTGCTCGCTGATTGCAATGTACGCGGTGTCGGACTGATTGTGTGCGGTCGATTACAGATATGAACCTGATTGAGGGAGACATTGCGTACGACCAGGTGAGTAGATAATTCTTCATGCAACTGAATTTGCCTTGCCGTGCGTTTAGTTGTGGTGTGATCTACCTCGCACGTACCAAGGTGTTAGGATTGTTAAGTTGTTTATGAAAAAAAAGCTTCATAGCTCATCGGATTCCTCCTGCAGTCTAAATAAAGTTTCTGCTCCTGATGATTGCCCATTCTGCACGGGGCACGTCCGCTCGTAGTGTAACATCGTGAGTAAGATGGTGAAAGTGACGTCGTGCATGGCTGTATTAATGAGAAACAGCAAATCGTCGCCCCTCTACTGCGACAACTTCACCAGCACCCTCCTCACACGGAGTCTTGAGACTCTCCTGGGTTAAGCACGCACAACGATGCGAATAATGTAAAAGCTCGTTAATTAGCCGATGACTCAGCATCATGACTAGAGGACCGCAGAGCTTGGGCAATTGTTGACGTCGGCTCCCTCGCCGCGTGACAGTTGCCCTCCCCGCTCGTCTGTGGTTCCTCCTCACCCCCTCTTGCGTCGTTCGCTGCGTCCGAGTGAGAGCGGCGCCGCTTTAACGAGTCGACGTTTGTCACGAGTGCCATGGGCCCAGTAGCGTTGTGGCCAAAGCTATGAGAAGGGGGCCCCCTTGACACCCACCACGAGATGTGTTTTCAACAACAGTGTAAAAGAACAAAAAATATTCAAAATGCGGTTTGAATAAATAGTTTTCATGAAAATGCTTAATGATGTGATGAGGCAAGAGGAGTCGCGATATATAATCGCCTGGGTGCGACAGTGCGAGACAAATCACAATATTGGGGGCCCTACTTGACCGATTTCCGCAGCCCCTAAGCTAATAATGTGGTTTACTACGCCACTGCATGCGCCACAATGTATTCTGGATGCGCCCCGTGTGTGTGGCTGCGTGTGTTGTGCTCCGTAAGGTGTATTCAAGGGGTCGAAGTGCAGTCCGTGATGACCGCTACCGATGGCCCAAAACCATCCCTTACTACCTGGACATGAGCCTTGGTCAGTCGCGCCGATTTCCCAGTGCCTTCGATGCATTTCAATGGTTGTGTTTTTATTGCGACACAACACGAGCCCGGTACGATACGCCGATAAGTGGACGTATTTGACAGATGTCCTTCTGTGTGCGTGGATATATATGGGTGCAATAATTGCTCCGAATCTGTCTCGTGTTTCCGTAACTTGCAATTCATATTTGTAAGATGATCAGAACACACATTACAGCAGAAACATTCGTGCAGGCCGGAAAATACGAACATATTAAAAACGCACGAAGGTGGTGTGCAGCATTGTATGTACAAACGGCTTTGTCCAGACCACCAGGTCTGCATGTGTGGCCATTTTGTCATTTAGACCACCGACTTACAGAGTTAATTAAAAAAAAACGTGGCCACCATCCCAACAGGCAGCGGTGAAACAAGGACACAGCTGTACACCGGTTTCATTGGTATTATGACTCATCAGTACAGTACATTCATCAACGTTAGCTCTTGCCGTATACCTCTGGGAGCCTCGTATGTGGAGGGGCCTCACCCCCAAGCCCCATGAGCATCCCTCAAGACAACGATATTTTGCTCCGCTTATTTTCTGCTGCGATGGGTGAACACGTTACACGTCTCTGTGCACCCTTTTTGGACTGCGGCAGATAATTGTGGAACACAAAGACGGTGAAGAACAGCGGAGGTGCTGAAGTGTTTGTTTCTGGCAGGGCTGCCACCGTCTCCTCTTTCTACAACACTGCGCAGTTGATTGCAACAATAAAGTTCAACGCAACAACGCCAGTGCCAGATCTCTGTGCAAATGTTTTTTTAACTAAACTAATTTTTATATTAGCAGGCAAGGTTCGCTGAGCTGTGTAGCTCTTTTTTCAGAAGCAACATGGCCACAAATGATAGTCCAACGAAGTGGCTTATCACCTGAAAATGATAGCAGCAGCCAAATACTCTAAACGCGTGATTCTAAATTTGGAGGGAAAACTGGAGGACTCGGAGAACAATCCGCGTGACCACGGGGAGAACACGCAAACTACAAATATGCAGCAGACGTCAGGGTTATGATCGAACCCACGACCTCCTGTATACGAGGCGAGGTAGATAACATATATCACTGCCTTGGTGCAAATCAATACTTGCCAGCCGTACACAGACGCCAATTGCCGGACAGGCGGCAATCCTTGCATCTTGCCGAGTGACAACTATCTCGGGGTCTCCAAAGAGGGCGGTGGTGCAATGCGAATGTTGTGTATTGAATAAGACCAACATTTATTTATGAGCAAGGGTTTGCGTCTGGATTTGTACATTTAGACGTGAATGCCAAGGGCGTCATTATGCAAGCGTTTGAGATGTACCGACTCAAGACCTGTATCGACTTCAAGCCCTGGGCCGGCGAGCGAGAGTACATCCAAGTCATCAAAGACAGCGGGTAACTCTCTCACTATCTCACGTTTCACCACCCGCCATTATCAAAGACAAAGATCCCCAGTATAGCATTAACAGACTGTTGGGGCAAGTGCTGTTAGCGAGCACCTATGAAGGCCGGCACGGTACACGAGGGGGTGGGTGGCCAGCACCATGACCTACTGCCTTCGTCTCCCAGTGTTGATGTTTACACACCGCACCAGGTACTCATTTGAGGCTGAGTCGACCTAGGGTAGGCCCAGAACCAGTTCAGATAATCGTTGCTGGTGTTGGCCGTGAGCGGGAATCGAACTTGGGCCGCCGGGTTCGTAGCACAGCACGTTAACCGCTACGCTAATGTTCTCCACACCACCACCATCGTCATCATCACCATCGTCACCATCGTTCGCCACGATCCATCCACTGCTAGATGGCCTCCTGAAACCGCCGCCACCTCTTGCGATCCGGCGATGTGACGATCTGCCCGGCACCCACGCACGAACTGATCTCATGACTCCATCTCTCCAGCGGACGTCCGCTCAGACGCTTTCCATTCCTTGGCTGCCGCTCCGTTATTAGTCTCGACCGTCGATCGTTGTCCCTTCTGGCTGCGACGCGTCCCGCCCCAGCAATGCTCACTAACCCTTAACAGTGTGGACGATGTTCATCGCCCTGCCTGTGTTCTCCAATCCACACGTTCTTATTTCTGTATTTTAACGTAACTTCAAGCATGCTTGGAATTTAGCTCGTTTTCTTCTTCTTACACGTAAACGCTGCCCATCACACACAGTACCACATTGCAGGCGGCGCAACTGCTTGGGGGCTCACGCACGCACTCTCCCTGGACGTGAGCCCATCACCACTCCTGCTGTCACCTCGTTCCGTAGACTGCCACACCGGAACTTCGTTAATTGTGGGTCCTAGTGAACGAAGTTATGGTGTAAATTTTTGTAATTCGTCGAATGTGGACCGTCACGCCGGCTCACAATGGCCGACTGCTCATGGAAAACGACGTCACGAGATAGTGCTGCATACAACTGCATTTGTAAATGTAATTTGTAACTTTCATCCTTACCCACATGTATCGATTGTTACATTTTTATGTGCAATTTTATTGAGCGACTCTGTGTTGTCTTGGTGTGGTCTGGGACTGTTCTAGCTGTTGCTTTGCTGTTTTTCCCAAGCTTGGGAATTGGTATACTTGTGCAATTCGAACTTATAAACTATTTTACGTATTAATTTTTTGTGATTTTATTACCTTTTTTATACTTTGCACTCCTATCGTTTTTTTTGTATTGTTTGATGTTGTAACTATCTGACCCTATGCCCCTACTAGACATCTGTGAAAAATAGCTTCATAGCTCATCGGATTTCTCCAGGATAAATACAGATTCTGACTGACTATTAACGTCCACCGGCGAGCGAGTCGGATGGTGTGCAGGGTCTTACAGTTAATGCGCATGGCAGCATTATCCAGGGCGGTCCGCCATCCTTGAACCGTGGACCTCCGCTACGGGCCGCGGGGCGTGCCAACGTTGGGCCGCGTCGACACCCAGCTGAGATGTGCCGCGGTCGCCGTGCCCCACAGGTGCTGGTCCTATGTGGGCAACCTTCACTACGGGAAGCAGGAGCTCTCCATCGGCGCTAACTGCGACCGCCTGGGCACCGTGGAGCATGAGTTCCTGCACGCGCTCGGCTTCTGGCACGAGCAGTCGCGCGCCGACCGCGACGACTATGTCACCATCATGTGGGACCAGATCCTGAACGGTGAGGGCCCGGGCGCGGCCTTCGTTCCGAGCAACGACTTTGAGCGACTCTCTCCTTTCTCTCTGTCTGTCTCTGCTGCTTTCTTCACATTGCTCCACGTTGGGAATCCCCTACCCTCCCATCGTCCTCATCGTCCCTTTAACCTCGCCCATTCAATGGGCGTATGTTGAGCTTCTTTTGCACCGTACGTACTGAACCGCACGGGGGAAGGACAAAAGAATCAACACAAAAAGCACTTCGAAAGAAGTCAGTTTTAAATTTTCTGATCTAAAAGTGCATAGTTCCTGTGGCTTCCTAGTATCAGAAGGAAGAGCGTTACAAACTGCCGCAGAAGCATGCTCGTGCTGTTTGTGGCTGGACACTTTACGGTTTTGGCCTTGGGTGTGTGCTCAGCAGCTACAGTGAGGGAAAAAAGTATTTGATCCCCTGCTGATTTTGTACGTTTGCCCACTTACAAATAAATTATCAGTCTATAATTTTAATGGTAGGTTTATTTGAACAGTGAGAGACAGAATAACAGCAAAAAAATGCAGAAAAACGCATGAGGGAAATAAGTATTTGACCCATCTGCAAAACATGACTTAGTACTTGGTGGCAAACCCCTTGTTGGCAATCACAGAGGTCAGACGTTTCTTGTAGTTGGCCACCAGGTTTGCACACATCTCAGGAGGGATTTTGTCCCACTCCTCTTTGCAAATCTTCTCCAAGTCATTAAGGTTTCGAGGCTGACGTTTGGCAACTCGAACCTTCAGCTCCCTCCACAGATTTGCTATGGGATTAAGGTCTGAAACCTGGCTAGACCACTCCAGGACCTTAATGTGCTTCTTCTTGAGCCACTCCTTTGTTGCCTTGGCCGTGTTTTTTTGGGTCATTGTCATGCTGGAATACCCATCCACGACCCATTTTCAATGCCCTGGCTGAGGGAAGGAGGTTCTCACCCAAGATTTAACGTTACATGGCCCCGTCCAAAGTCCCTTTGATGCGGTGAAGTTGTCCTGTCCCCTTAGCAGAAAAACACCCCCAAAGCATAATGTTTCCACCTCCATGTTTGGCGGTGGGGATGGTGTTCTTGGGGTCATAGGCAGCATTCCTCCTCCTCCAAACACGGTGCGAATAATCGCACCAACTGTTGTCACCTTCTCACCAAGCTGCTTGGCGATGGTCTTGTAGCCCATTCCAGCCTTGTGTAGGTCTACAATCTTGTTCCTGACATCCTTGGAGAGCTCTTTGGTCTTGGCCATGGTGGGGAGTTTGGAATCTGATTGATTGCTTCTGTGAACAGGTGTCTTTTATACAGGTAACAAGCTGAGATTAGGAGCACTCCCTTTAAGAGTGTGCTCCTAATCTCAGCTCGTTACCTGTGTAGTGGCGGTGCGCGCTGACAAGGTGGGGGCGTGTGTGTGCGCGCGCCGGGCGTGGCTACATCGAGTGTGGGGGTGTTGACGCACGCCGACAGTGATGGATCACGGGGCGGCGCTGGGTGCGTGGTTGTGCGCACAGACACGATATGGGAAACAGGATCGTGGGCAGCGCGCTGAGTGATTGGTCAACTGGGGTGGGTGCTCTCAGCGACGTCCGCATGGAGGACTATAAAGGGGGACGCGCGGGAGCACTCGGGGAGTTATTACCAGCTGAAGATCGAAGACGGAGTTGAAGAGATAGGGCCCTGAGACCCCTAGCCCCGCTGTCCTTGTAAGGGCCGGGACCCTCTGCGGCTCAGAGGCGAGGCTGTGGGACCCGTGGCCTGGCGTCCATGTGGGACCAGGCTGTGGGACCCAGAGTCGAGACTAATAACCCAGCCGGGTGGGTTCCGAGAAGCTACGGGGCGTAAGAGCCCGTGTGGGTGTAGCCAGGGGAACCTCGTGGGTTATGTGGCAGTTGCCACCCGTGTAATATAAGTTGGTGTTAATAAAAGGTGTGCTACCCGTCAGAGTCTTTTCCCGCCAAGTTACTACTTTACAACTGGCGTCAGAAGTAAACCTGTCTTCACAAACGATGGATACTAGGAAGACTACCCGTACTCACGAGCGAGATCGGGAAGACGACGGCGTACCAGAGCCACAAGCCTCGGGAGGCGAGGACGATGAGATGCCGCCGATGCAGCACCTCGCGGCGATGGCCGACGCTCCGCTCGCCTCCAACACCGGCCTTCAGGATGCACACTCCCGCCTGGCGGAGTTGCTGCTCGCCGCCGCTTCGATTTTGTCAGAAATCACTGCTTCAGGAGGCGGGAGGACAACTACGAGGTTGGAGGAGGGAGCGCGGCCGGCGGGATCCCGCCAGAACGCGCTTCGCGCCGAAAGTTTTAAAATTGGCGCCATTTTCGAGGGTCCACCAGCGATTGGCGGGAAGCGTGGACACCACGTGGTCGGGGACCTCCACTCTACACAGCCCGCGTCATTGGCGCGCGCCGAAACTCTCCACCATGCGCCTGCCGACGGAGCCGACATTTTCGTTAACTACAGCGGTGCGCGGGAAAAGCATTCATCGGGGGACGACGACCAGGTCTTCCAACAAAGACTGCCCGCGCTGACGGCGTTCAAGGCGGACGGGGGCGACTGGGGGGCCTTCCAACGAAGGTTCCTCGTGCATCAGGAGATGTCGGGGTGGTCCGACACTACTGCCCTACGCGCGCTGCCGGCGACGCTCGACGACGACGCACTTGCGGCCTTCACATCCGCCCCAAGGTCGTCCCGCTCAACGCTCCAGGCCGCGCTACATCTCATGGCTAAGGTGTTCAGACCGCCCTCGACCTGTCGCCACCAGTTTTACCAACGGCGTAAGGTGGATGGAGAAACTACGCTCGCCTATCGCACATTGCTGCTCGCCCTGGGGGACGCCGCTTTTCCCCGCATGGACAAGGAGGGGAAGGACGCCATAGTGACAGAGCAGCTGCTGGCGTTGGCTCACGGTCTGGGAGTGCCCATCAATACGGCGGACGAGATGGACATTTGCTCCTTGGGGGTGGCGACAAGTATTCACGCACACGAGGTCCTCAAGCGAAAGCGGACGGTCATCTGTGCATCGGGGGGGATAGCGACACCAGCCGCGACGGTCGCCGAGCCTCAGACTGCTACGGCTCGGGAGGAGGCCTTCACCGTGTCAAGACCGGGGGAGTGGAGATCGGGAGGTCGTTCACCCGTACGATCCCGCAAGCTGGAGCAACCGAAACCTACGACGTCCCTGGTCTTGTGTTACAACTGCGGCCTCCGGGGTCACGTCGCGTCCGGGTGCCGGGCTCCGCGTCAGCGTGCCACGGGACCACGTCCGGACGACGACCAAGGCCCCAAGTCATCCCAGCTAACCCCGGCAAGTCGCGGCACCCTACACGCTCGGTCCACATGCACGGCACACTCGGGTCGCCGCTTCGCGGTGGGGGGGACCGCGTATGGGTACCGGGGATTCGGTTCGGCGAGGGGGGTTCGTACACGGCCCGGGCGCAGTCAAATGGTCAGAGTTGGCCCACAGGATAGTGGCTGCGTCGGCCGGGTCGTCCGTAGTAACGGGGTTTATTGACGGGGTCGAGGTCCGGGTGCTGGTGGACACGGGTGCGTCGGCCACTATCATTTCGGACCTTATTGATAACATCCTTCCCGTCCAATGCCGACCCCTTCTCCCGGTGGACGTACCGTTTTACGTGGCGAACGGGGGATCTTTGGGAATCATCGGACAGATTCGGGCGACCAGTTGTATTGGTGATATCAAATTGGCGGGTCCCATTTTTGTGTCATCGTCTCTGGCAGTTCCTTGTTTACTGGGCACGGACTTTCTGGCTAAAATGCCCATTAAAATTTTCATTGATCAGGCCTGCATTGAGCTTCCATCGGGTCGGCGGGTTGCATTTTTAACGAGTCCTACCAAAATACGCACGGTTTGTGCAACGGTTCAGGCGCTGGCAACTCAGTCTGTGCGGGTGCCCCCGGGATCGCAAATGTTGGTACCCCTTCGGTTGCGAAAACCCCTCGGGATCGACGCGGGGGAACAAGTTGTTCTGTTGGGGCCGTCAAACAGAGCTGTTGGGGGCCTCGACTTAGCAGTAGCTCAGACCATGGTGCGGGCGGACAGGGATCCGTTCGTTATGGTTCTGAATACGGGGTCGCGGCCAGCTGTAATTACACAGGGCACGGTGCTGGCTCACGCGGCGCCGCTACCCGTCGACGAACAGCTCGTTGCGCATGCCGACTCTAGCCTCGATACGCATCCTCCATTGGAGGAGGGGACAGAATGGTTGGACTCGTTGTGTGCTGGGTCTAGTGACTTGTCTAGTGTGCAGTTGGGAGCGTTGAGGGGCCTGCTACTCGAATTCGCCGACGTCTTTAGCAGACACAAGTACGATATTGGCTGCACGGACTTGTTGCGCCACCACATAGCGTCCGGTGATGCGGCCCCTATTCGGCAAAATCCCTTCCGGCTCAGCCCAGCCGAGAAGGAGCATGTGAGATCGGCTGTTAATGACATGTTGGCTGCCGACATCATTTCGCCCTCTTCCAGTCCGTGGGGGGCTCCCATCGTCCTTGTTAAAAAACAGGACGGGTCCTTGTGGTTTTGTGTGGATTTTCGCCGCCTAAATAAAATCTCTATGGCCGACGCGTATCCACTCCCCAGGATGGATGAGTCGCTGGATGCCTTGGCGGGAGCACAGTATTTTTCAACGCTTGACCTGCTTTCGGGATTTTGGCAATTGCCCCTCGATGAGGAATCAAAACCTAAGACCGCTTTCCGGACACCAGGAGGCCTATTTGAATTCAATCGATTGCCCATGGGCTTACAATCCACTCCCGCCACGTTCCAGAGGCTCATGGAATTGGTTTTGTCAGGACTCCAATGGGACACCTGTTTGATCTACCTCGATGATATCATCGTTTTCAGCCGGACTTTCGAGGAGCACCTCCAGCGATTGAGAGGGGTGTTCCTCAGGATGCGTTCCGCTAAATTAAAATTTAAACCCGCTAAATGTCACCTGCTTCGGGAATCGGTCAGGTACTTGGGGCATATTGTTGGCCGTTCAGGGATCTCCACAGACCCTGCTAAGATGCACTGTGTCAGCTCATGGCCAACGCCAACCTCAGTCACTGAAGTCCGCAGCTTCATAGGATTCGCCTCCTACTACCGCCGTTTTGTCGAACATTTTGCCACCATAGCCAGGCCCCTACACGCTTTGCCGGCTAAAGGGGTAAGGTTTCACTGGGGCTCAGATGAGGAGGCTGCGTTCTGCTCCCTTCGGGACGCCTTGGTGCAGGCTCCCCCCTTGTGTTACCCCGATTTCACGCAACCGTTTCTGCTTGACACGGATGCCAGTAACACGGGTATCGGGGGAGTGCTCTCACAGGTGGTCGGGGGGGTCGAACGGGTGGTCGCCTACGGTAGTAGAGTTCTGTCACCTGCGGAACAACGCTACTGTGTGACACGTCGTGAATTGCTAGCGATCGTTTTTTTTATACAGCAATTCAGACCGTATCTCTACGGACGTCATTTTACTGTTCGTACGGACCACGCGGCTCTCCAATACGCAATGCAGGTGGCGCAACCCTCCGGCCAATTGTCCCGATGGCTGGAGGTCCTCCAATACTACCAGTTCACGACGATTTACCGAAACAGATTGCGGCACTCGAATGCGGATGCCTTGTCGCGGTTGTCGCCTCGCTCGGAATGCGCATGTCTTCTGGGATCGGCGCGGTGTAAACCCCCTGTCGCCGCTCCCGCGGAAGTTTTGCTCGCCGCCACTGACGCTCCAGAGGTCGATGCGCCCGCCGCTCCTACGGACGGGGACTCGTTACTCGCGTTACCTGTTATCGAGTGGGGCCGTCTCTAAATGGCCGACAGCTCCCTACTCACGCTGTGTCGGAAGGCAGAGGCTCCCGGGGGGGGGGGAGACGCGGGTCAGTTCATGGGTGGTCAGACAGGGCCTCCTGATGAAGTGGGACAATATGTCCCGGCGCCATACGCTCGTTGTGCCATCTGCTATACGGGGTAGGATCGTTCTGGCTGCTCACGAACGCCTCATGCATTTGGGATTTCACAAAACGCTCGCCCTACTCCAACGGGACTATTATTGGCCGGGTATGGGGAGCGACGTGGCAAACATCCTCAAGGGATGTGTGGGGTGCGCTCGAAGGAAACCGCCACAAATAGCGGCTAATCCACCGCTACAATCCATTCAGGTTTCGCGCACGAACGAACTGGTTGCGCTTGACATTTTGGGGCCCTTTCCCGCTACACCTAGGGATAACAAATACCTGCTGGTTGGCGTAGAATACTTCACCCGATGGCCCATGGCGTGGCCACTCGCCAACCAGTCGGCTGCGGCGGTGGCGGACGCCATTGTCCAGGGCTATGTTTTGGACAAAGGCGCCCCCGAACGCTTGCTGACGGACCAAGGAAAGAATTTTTCGAGCGTTTTGTTGCGCGAGGTGTGCGACCTGTTGGGTACGAAAAAAGTGCGTACCTCCCCGTACCACCCGCAGACTGATGGAATGGTTGAACGTCTAAACAGGACGATTACTTCTATGCTGTGCCAACAGGTCTGCAACGATCAGGTTGATTGGGACTTGCAGGTACCTGGGGTACTCGCGGCCTATCGAATGGCCCCCCATGCGGCAACGGGGTTTTCCCCATTTTTTCTCATGTATGGGCGGGAGGCTGATCCGCCTATGGATGTCCAACTGGGGATTTCCCAGCCACGTGCGAAATCCAAATTGGCCGACCACATCAAATTTAAAATCGCCAAACTGGCTGAAGCGCGAGAGGCTGCGAGGTTGAATTCGAGGTCGCGCCAGGTCGCTAACGAGAGGTTGCATGAACGAAAAGTGTATACGCACGATTGGAAAACAGGCGATAAGGCCTGGCTGCATTGCCCACATGCACCGTTGGCTACGTCCCCTAAATTGTTGAGACCATGGAGGGGACCTGTGGAAATCGTGCATATTGCGCGACCCCAGTGTATCCAGATTAAATGGGGAAAACGCCGTTGGTACGTACACCCCTCCCGGCTGAAACCTTTCGCGGCAACCCATGACCTCCCTTTGTGCCGTAACGACCGAGCGTGTGATGGGGCCGTCGGCTCGGGGTGGGAGGTGTCGCAGTCTGATCCTCACGTGTCTCTGCCTGACCTACTCCCAGGTGTCGCGGACCTGACGGCTGCTGACCGCCGAGAGCCGGAACCCCGAGGCGCGCACGGATCTACAATGCCTGCCCCGTGCCTCCCTGGACTGCCGGCGCCACTGGACGGTCAACCGCATCCGGTGCCGTACGACGGACCGGCCAGGCGGACTCGTGCTAAGACACGCCACTTTTCCTGAAAAAAAAAAAAAAAGAGGGGGGGCCCGAGATTGCGGCTCGGCGCCACGTTCCTTTTCTGCCCGGTACATTGCCCCGTTCAAGGGGTGGTCGGAAATGAAGGGACGCTGCACGAGTCATTTTTGTATATACGTTTATTGTTGTCGCTCGCCGCTTGTACATATTGTTCTTGTTGTTGCGGTGGTATGCTCTGCTTACGGATGGCGGAGTTCTTATTGTGTTGTTGTGATTGTTGCTGGTGTTACGGGGCACACACTAAAGGGGGGAGGGAAATAAAAAAATTTTAGCAGCCGGGTCGGCTGCGAGCTATGTGGTAGGGGGTGATGTAGTGGCGGTGCGCGCTGACAAGGTGGGGGCGTGTGTGTGCGCGCGCCGGGCGTGGCTACATCGAGTGTGGGGGTGTTGACGCACGCCGACAGTGATGGATCACGGGGCAGCGCTGGGTGCGTGGTTGTGCGCGCAGACACGATATGGGAAACAGGATCGTGGGCAGCGCGCTGAGTGATTGGTCAACTGGGGTGGGTGCTCTCAGCGACGTCCGCATGGAGGACTATAAAGGGGGACGCGCGGGAGCACTCGGGGATTTATTACCAGCTGAAGATCGAAGACGGAGTTGAAGAGATAGGGCCCTGAGACCCCTAGCCCCGCTGTCCTTGTAAGTGCCGGGACCCTGTGCGGCTCAGAGGCGAGGCTGTGGGACCCGTGGCCTGGCGTCCATGTGGGACCAGGCTGTGGGACCCAGAGTCGAGACTAATAACCCAGCCGGGTGGGTTTCGAGAAGCTACGGGGCGTAAGAGCCCGTGTGGGTGTAGCCAGGGGAACCTCGTAGGTTATGTGGCAGTTGCCACCCGTGTAATATAAGTTGGTGTTAATAAAAGGTGTGCTACCCGTCAGAGTCGTCTCCCGCCAAGTTACTACTTTACACCTGTATAAAAGACACCTCATTAAAATGCAAATCAATTTATAACATTTTTGACATGCGTTTTTCTGGATTTTTTTTGTTATTCTGTCTCTCACTGTTCAAATAAACCTACCATTAAAATTATAGACTGATCATTTCTTTGTCAGTGGGCAAATGTACAAAATCAGCAGGGGATCAAATACCTTTTTCCCTCATTGTATGTTAACATCCATCTCAGTCCACTAACTCTCGAGTGTGGCGTTCGTGTCCCTCCATGTCTCGTTTTCTTCAATTTCCCCTCCCTGCTCCTACACGCACGTGTTCCATCCAGCGTTCTCGCCCAGGACGTCCACGTGGGCTGTGGTTGTAATGGTGCCTGCGCACCGCATGAACCGTGCGGTGCGTGGTTGCGTTTCGCAGGCAGGGATGGGAACTTCGACAAGTACGAGGACGATGTGACGGATCTGCAGAATGTGCCGTACGACTACTCCTCCGTGATGCACTACGGCGCCGGCGCATTCCAGAAAGCCGAGGAGCCCACCATCATCACGCGCATCCCCGACTTCATGCAGGTCATCGGCCAGCGCTCCGACTTCAGCAAATACGACCTCCAGAAGCTCAACCGCCTCTACAACTGCAGTGAGGGGCGCGCGGACGGCGGGGGGTCGGTGATGCGCGGACGGCTGAGGCCTCACGCGGGGCGAAGGGAACGTCGACACGTGGTGACGTCTTCTCCATGGCCACACAAAACGAGCGTGCAGATCCTGCCGCGTCGCACACTCCCCACTCCCATCGTTGTCATTGTCTCTTTCCCCGAGCTCTTATAACCATAATAATCACAATAATAACCTCGCTCCATTCACAAAAAGCATTGACTCTCATACGTTACCACGTTGACAATGCTGTTTGTTTCCGGCCGCTTGACGCTCTGGGCCTTGTGGGCCTTGTGCTCGACAACCGTAAACATAATTGTCAATAATCAAAGAATGGAAATTTAACCACCTTGCCGTAGCATCACAGTACCCCGGCTGGCCAGGAGACGACGGCCATGGTGGCCACGGGGCGTGGGTGGTCGATTCACGACCGTTCACGCGATCCGCCAACTCCCCTCGCTGCCTCTTGTGTCCCTCAGCGCAGCCACCTCCGCGATGCGGTGTTTGCCGCTCGTTGCAGAGTTTTGAGGTTTGGACCCAGCAGCCTGCCCCGATTAATGCCACAGGCATGTAAACCGCGAATACTACATGCGGTCTGCTTGACAGTGGGCGTTTAAGATCCCACAACGCCACTCCAAACGAGCAGTAGGCCAGGGTCCAAATTTTCGGAGGCTGTGGCGGCCATATTATTTTTTGTATTTTACCAGGTAAGGTCCACTGGAGCTACATAGCTCTTGTTCAGAAGGAACTTGGCCACAAATGATAGCTCAACGAAGTTGCTTATCACGTGGAAATATATGAGCAGCAGTGGGGGGTAGGAGGAGGAGGAAACTGGAGGGCCTGGAGAAAATCTACACGCCCACAGGGAGAGAGAGAGAGAACATGCAAACTCCAATTATACAGGCGCCAGTGTTGGGATTGAAGCCACGACCTCCTGAACACCAGACGAGGTAATTAACACCTCACCACCGGCCTTGATAGGTGCTCGCTAGCTGCACTTGCCCCAACAGTCTAAGGCTCTCGGGAAGGATCTTTGTCCTTGTCAACTCTGTGTCGAGCAGCTCGATCGCTTGCGTTCATGGAGCAGTGCAACTTTGAGGAGCTCAACATCTGCGGGATGATCCAGGGAGCCGGTGACACGCTCGACTGGCAACAAGTCACGTCTGCTGTTAATGGACCCGCTTCGGACTTCACTCACTTGACAAGTTGCCCGGGTAAATATATCACAGCATTGTTTAATTGGACCAACCCCCGTGTGGCTCTCATAGCGTCAGCTAAAGCCGAGAACTCAAATCCTCGTGGATAAGCCACAGTCCCCTTTATAGGTCGTCTTCGTCGTTGTGTTCGCATGGCTGTAAATGAGCGAGGTTGCGCATTTCTCATCTGGCAGTTATTCTATTTTTATTTCAGCAGGTAAGGCTCACTGAGCTATCTAGCTCTGATTCAGAAGCGACCTCGCCACAAATGATAGCTCAACGAAGTGGCTTATCACGTGGAAATTTATAGCAGCCAAATACTCTAAACGCAAGTTGATTCTAAATGTGGAGGGAAATACCGAAGGACCTGGAGAAGCATCCAGCAGCAATCCTGCTTTGTGCGATGCAACGCCGAGGCAGCCGTACAACCGCTTATTTCCTTCTCGCACGGATTAATTATGTTCACTCATCGTGTTATATCCAATTCGCGTTATGAAAACAACACGCTTTATAGGAGAACAGACTGTACTTTAATTTGTAATGTAGAGAGAGAGCTATGGGAAGGAGGTGTATGGCCTGCTTATAAATTTTGCTACTGATATTCTGCACGACACTGATGATTATCTTCCGCTGTGTATTGTAGAGTTTTGTGTCGAACTACCTACGTCTAACAGAGGCAGAGGGGGTCCTTGCCTATAAACATCTACAAGTTCAGCATTGGTTCAAGTGATTCTGACTCTGCTGATGAGACAATGAATGTTGAAACCCATCCAGAGCTTGTTTTTACTGAATCAACGCCGCTGAAATAATGCACTCCCGGAAGGCCTGTTGGCTGATGGGATGTGTAAAAAAAAAAGTTTATGGTTGATATGGCGAGACGGCTATGTGAAGGAGGCGTATCGTCTACTTATTCTTTTTTTCACATTCTCCAAGCGGACGTTTAATGACGTCGAGCGGCGTTGGGCGGTCGCCTCTGCATTTGGTGGTCATCGTTGCAGGGAAGGGCCACTTCATGTTCATGAGAACCTCAGTGGGTACCGAAGGGAGCCATGCGCTACTCGAAACGCGGACGCTGGTTCCAAAGCGCCAGCAGGACCAATGCCTACAGTTCTACTACTCCGGCAGCAGTGGGCAGCGCGGGGACAAGCTCGGGGTCCACTTGCGCGTCGGCAACTCCACCGAGCTCAAGGAGGTCATGTGGATCACTGGTAACGACGCAGACCGAACGTTGCGGCTCGACGCCTCGAGGCGCTCGTTTCATTGCAGCCTCGAACACCACACCCCATACAGCGTGGAGCAGTCGTATTGCTTGAGACGATCCAACACTCGCCGATTCACTCCTATCACATACCCACTGGCAATCAGTCACCACCTTATTACTCTTGTATCACAACGACAGTGGTGACTGTTCCTGTGATATCCACTCGGTGATTGCGCCAGCTATGTTGAGGATTCGGTCCACTGGACTCTGACTCTCTTGTCTCATCCACCACACTGTGTTCAACCACGACACTGTAGGTCACAACAACACACTCACCCACCCACACACTTACTCACCCACCCACTCGCTCACACATGCACCTACTCACTCATCCACCGACCCACCCACTCACTCTCCCACTCACCCACTCACACACTCACTCTCCCGCTCTCTCCCCCATTCACTCACTCACCCACTTACTCTCGCACTCACTCACCCGCTCACCCACTCACTTACCCACCCGCCCACCGGTTCTGGCTGCTTTCCGTGTCTCTAGTTTCCTGCGCCTCCATGCAAAAAAAATCGAGCGCATTACCAATTCTCCAGCGTTTTCAGATGGGATTTGCACCACTAAAAATCAACTCGGAGCCTTGCGCGTGTGCCTGTCCCCCCCCCCCCCGGCCCACCACCCCACAGATTTTAGTGATGCTCAGTGGAAGTTTGTCTTCCATCCGCTGGCAGAGACGCAGCCATTCCGCGTGGTGTTCAAAGGATTGAAGGGCTTGGCCACCTCTCCAGGGGGCATAGCCATCGATGATGTCAGCATCATGGAGGTGAAGTGTCCCACCCACATGTGGCGTATCCAGAATTTCTCGCGAGTTCTGGCGTCGTCGCCGTCGGGGCCCGGGGGCAGGATCTACAGCCCGCGGTTCGAGAGCGGCGAAGGCTACAACTTCCAGATCTCCATGTACATCAATGGCACAAGCGACAATCCCGAGAACCTGGCGCTGTATTTCCACCTGACGAGCGGCGACAAGGACAACTCGCTGACCTGGCCCTGCCCGTGGAAGCAGGCGACCATGAGCGTGATGGACCAGCACTGGGACGTCGGGGACCGCATGTCGCGTACCCGCAGCGTCACCACCGATCCGAATTACGAGGGCACCCACCGTGAGCACCGCACGCGCACAAAGACAAAAGGTCTCCCAAATAGTTTTAGTGAGCACCCTGTGCTGCACAAGGTGACTCAGCACCGGCGTGCAAGTGGGTATTCGTCTACCAGTCATGTGCGATGGTTGCTGCTGCGTGTAAACCCAATTTTACTAATTTGTGGCAGAATTTTTTAAGATTGTCAAATATCGAATTTAATGTGAGTAGGGTTGCTGACGGTCGGCGTTATTCGCAGACTTTGAGATGTTTACACCACCAGCAGGCTAACCATAGGGAGATCTCCAGCAGACCACGATACCTTATCTCCTGTCTTTTATGTCCTCTCACGATCCCTCCTACTTCTGGGACCTTCCAATCCGCCACAGCGATATTTAACCAAACTCCCGCCTGAATTCCCAACTCTCTCCTAAATCCCCTTGCGAGCCCTTCAGCAAATCGCACTCTCGCCAGTAGCAACAGACAATCGATCACGAGTGGCCGTTCTGCCTGACCAAACTAGGATTGTCTCAGTACAGCGATTAGCCAGTGGGTGAACGCCGATGTTTGTCATAACAGATCGACTTCGACGGCTTTTACACAACGACGACTAATCTCTCCCACCAACCTCACTCTCCCCTCCCCTCCCCCACACCCAATGCGATGTCTTCACAGCTAACGGAACCACATACTATTACTGGGACCGGCCAGACAGGGTGGGGTTTCCGGTGTCCGGTGAAACGTACTCCCGGGGACCCGGTCTGGGAACGAGCAGCTTCATGTCGCATCACACGCTGCTGTCGCGCAACTACGTCAAGGGCGACGAGCTCATGGTGCTCATCGCCTTCGCAGGTGGGCTCCCCGCCAGGCACCGCCACGCACACTGGTAGAGCAAAACCGCCACCGTCGGCGTCGTGGGGAATATAGGGAACGGAATAAACGAGCACACAAGGATTGCCTCCTTCACACAGCAGAGTCGGGCTTACCTGAACAGACGTTGGTGAATTCTATATTTGGAGTTTTCGTGACTGCAATGATTCATACTCTTTGGTTATTTCGGTAAAGTCACGTAGGTGAAAATTATAAAATAAAATAAAAATGAAAACAACTAAATTACTACAAACTGAGTTGCATTTGTGGTGATTGTTACATTGGGGAAACAAAACGACATGTATCTGACCGCATTCGCGAGCACAAGTCAGATTTGAAACACGGTAGGACGAACTCCTCTGCCGTAGCTAACCACTGCTACAACGCGGTGGGCTCTCATGATATTGTTTTCTCTGATACCAAGATGCTCTGCAAGCCATCTGGATGCCACCAAATATTTGTCCACGAAGCCATCCAGATATACAAACATAGACATAACTTCAACCGAGAAGATGGATTAAAATTGAGCAATCATTGGAAGGATGTTATTAACCAAGTAAAACCTTAGCTGCCTATTAGTTTATATTCATACCCACATCTCCAGTCTTTTACTCCCAGCCTTGCACGCTACCATCAATAGGAAATTTGACGTGCGGTGTTTCGATCGTGCAGATTTCCCCCCCCCACCCAACATACTAGCACAGACATTATGTGACCTCCTTTGCCAGTAGCAAGATATAGTAATAGGGTTTTACCCTTTTATCTGGCAACAAAACTGACACCTTTATACGAGGGATCATATTTGTAATAACCACAACACAAGCAGTCAAAATGCAAACAAAAAGAGACAACTCTGATAATGATATGCACTGTCCTTGAAATTGATTGGTCCACACCCGAGACGGCTTTTCTTAGAGCCTAGTCTCGACTGGTGTTGGACCAGATGACGCCAAAAGGCGTACTACTACTGTACTGGCACAGCTTTAGTCCGAATTCTTGGAACATCCTTGCCGCTCTCCCCGCCCCCACACTCACCCTGGCTCCCCCCCCCGCCCCCTCAGCTATATAATCCCTTGTTACAGCCATCTCTTTGGCATACTTCAGCGATAGTTTTCGCTGTGGTGGTCCCCACCTGATGAAGGACGCTTGTGTTGTGCCTGAAACGTCGTGATTTAATTTAGTTGTTTTCATTTTTATTTTATTTTATAATTTTCACCTACGTGACTTTACCGAAAGAACCAAAGAGTATAGACCAGACATGGGCAAAGTACGGCCCGCGGGCCGTATACGGCCCGTTGGGCTTTTTAATCCGGCCCGCCGAACTTGTCCAAATATTATTATTAAATTAAATTTTGCCTTCCTCCTGTAATGCCCCCATTTCCCCAATAGTTAGCGTACTTTTACCGGGAGTGTGGTGTATAGTAGAACATCTGGTCACGACCATAATTCATTCCATAACTTTGGTCGCAACCGGTTTGGTCGTGACTCGAACCTAATTTTCCCATTGGATTGTATGTAAATACGATTAATCCGTTCCAGACTCCTAAGAACTGTATATAAATATTGTTTTTTTAAGATTATTAAGCACAAAAATAGTTAATTATGCCATAGAATTCAGTGTAATAGTATACTAAATGTAAAAACATTGAAAAACACTGAGAAACCCTTGAACAACAGAGAAAACTAACATTGCCGCATCAAGGTTTAGAATCGTTCAACAAGATGATTGTTTTGTCTGCTATATCAGTCGGTCGATTCTGAGAGAGAGAGAATATTCGTATGAGCAATTCATGTTAATATTGAAAGTAAGTTAACAGTAATATTTGGGTACAGTATTGTTTTGGAAGCATTCACCATAATATCGTATGAACGTTTACTTCACCGCATCATTGTATGAATGATGCTAGAAGAGATTAACGGGTTCTTATGTTAGCGATTTACATACTCGGCGCTTTCGCTCTCTAAATTACTGCTTGAATGAGGGGGAAGGGTATGACTACACTTACAAAATTAATATCTTACTAGTGTAATAAAAGACTCCATCAGGCACTGCTGGTCTCTGCTTGTCTTTTATTTAGGTTCTTCTCCGCATCCCCCACTGGCCTCCTCTCGGACCAGTGTCGTCTTGCGCGCGCCCCGCGCACGCTCCCTCTCGCGTGCCACGCACGCTTTCTCTCGCGTGCCACGCACGCTCTCTCTCTCTCGTGCTCCTCTATTCCCGCACTCCGCACACCGCTGGCCGACGGCGTGCTGAGGTCCTTCGGCCACGTGGCCGATGGCGCGGATCTTTCCTCACCACCAAACGTGGCTCAGCCTCTTAACTTCCCCGACTGCCCTGATCTCTTCTGGGCTCCCACTTATATACATTCCCCCCACGTGACCCTGGTTCCTCCCCTTCCGGATCCTCAGATCCGGCCTTCCATACTACCCCACTGGCTCCGCCCCCATTCACCTCGCCTCCCATTGGAGCCGAGGTGAATGGTGGCCCCTCCCACACGCCCCGCAAACCAGGCTCTGCCCCCCAATACCCCGGGCCGTGTGATTGGACCCGAGCCCAGCAACAACCCCATTTACGCTCGCATTACACTAGGAATTTTATATAAAAAAAGTTATATACATAACTGTTACGCTTTGTGTAATTCAACAAAACAAACAAAACTTAACTCCGAGTTCTCTCCGAATTTCACGAGTCCGTTCTAGACCCCACAGTATTTTAAAGAGTTTTAAGCACATAAAACATAATTAAAGTTGGAAAAATCATTAATTATACAAACTTTTCAATAATTTCCTTCTTCACTTCGATTAAAATGTTCTTTAAAACCTTCTTCTCACCAACATTACTACTCATTACCACTTTCTCCGAAGGCAAGTTTGTAAAAGAATGCATGGTACAGACAGCAGACATCTTGTGTCCGGAGATCAAAAGCAAATTTGAAAAAGTCAGTTTATCACGCAGGACTGTGACTCGCCGTGTGGAACTGATTGATAAAAATATAGCCAGTCAATTAAACAAAAAGTCTGATTCCTTTGAATTATATTCACTAGCACTGGATGAAAGTACGGACGTAAAAGACACTGCTCAGCTCCTCATTTTTATCCGAGGCATTGACGACAGTTTTGCGATAACAGAGGAGTTTTTGACCATGGAGTCCCTGAAAGGAACAACGCGGGGGAGAGGATTTGTATAACCAGGTATCTGCTGTCATCGAAAGAATGACGCTACCTTGGAGTAAACTTGTCAATGTCACAACGGATGGATCGCCACATTTAACTGGAAAAAATGTTGGGCTGCTGAAAAGAATCCAGGATGAAGTGAAAGAGGAAAACCCTGTCTAGGATCTTATTTTCCTTCACTGCATCATCCATCAGGAATCCCTGTGTAAGTCTGTATTGCAGCTTAATCATGTCGTGAATCCAGTCATACAACTTGTGAACTTTATACGAGCAAGGGGACTTCAGCACCGTCAGTTTATTACCTCCCTGGAGGAAACTGATGCGGATCATCAGGACTTGCTGTACCACTCTCGTGTCCGCTGGTTAAGTTTGGGGAAAGTGTTACAACGAGTGTGGGAGCTGAAAGAGGACATCATCGCATTTTTGGAGTTGATGGGGAAATCTGACGAATTCCCTGAGCTAAGCGACAAGAACTGGCTTAGTGACTTTGCGTTTGCTGTGGACATATTTTCACACCTGAATGAGCTGAATGTGAAACTGCAGGGGAAAGATCAGTTTGTTCACGACATGTACAAACATGTGAAAGCCTTCAAATTCAAGCTCACTTTGTTCTCCGGACAAGTTGCGAACAAATCTTTTGCTCATTTCCCCACACTTGCCATGCAGGAAGAGGCACCGCAAAACGCAAAAAAATACAGCAAATCACTTGAGGACCTGCACGGAGAATTCTGCCGTAGGTTCTCTGATTTCGAAAACATTGAACAGTCACTTCAGCTGGTGTCCTGTCTCCTGTCACAAGACCCTGAAACAGCACCACAGGAGCTGCAGTTGGAACTGATAGATCTTCAGTCTGACTCCGTCCTGAAGGAGAAATTCAACTGAATGACTTTTATGCTTCACTTAACAGAGCCACGTTTCCAAACCTCCGGACGACTGCACAGAAGATACTGACTTTGTTTGGCTCGACTTATGTGTGTGAGCTGACATTCAGTGTCATGAACGCCAACAAAGCCCGTCACAGATCAAAGTTAATGGATCAGCACCTCAGATCTATCCTGAGAATTGCCACAACCAAAATAACTCCAGACTTGGATACACAGGCAAAAATGGGAGATCAACAACACTGTTCCCACTGAAAATGAAAGTTATGATGTGTTGCTGCAGCGAGGTTGGAGCCAAATCTCCGACACAGCCTGCGTGGCTGTTCTAACCTGTTAATGTAGATAATAAAGAAGTTCAAGTGAGGTAATTGGTTTGGTCGCAGGCCTCAGATGTTTTCATGATGTTTGATCAGTCACGTTACGACATGTTTTTGTATTGTTCATGTTCGTGCAATTTGTTAAATTGCCTTGCAAATAAATTCTTTGCTACCTGTTAAAGGCCAAATCCTTTCATGTAATGACTTTTTACGTGTCATTTATATTAGTTCACACAAACACTCCATCCACCTGTTCCTGGCCTGGCCCCTCTGTCAAATTTTAGAACCCATTGTGGCCCGCGAGTCAAAAAGTTTGCCCACCCCTGGTATAGACGTTGGTGAGTTGCCGGATAAGGATCCTTGCCAATAAACATCTGACAGTTCACCAGCATTGGCTAAAGCATGCCTGACTTTATGACAAGACACTGAATGTTGACATCAGTCCAGAGCTTGCTGCCACAGTATTGCACCAATGCTGTTAAAATTCTACACTCCCAGAAGGCCGGGTGGCTGATGGAATGTGTAAAAACACTTTTATGTTTCACGTGGAGGGCCTGCCTATGTGAAGAAGGCGAATTGTTCACATCGGTAATGAAAAACTTGCGCCTTCAGAAGAAAGTTTTCAATGAGTGCTGATGACCTGCGATGGAATATGCACCACAGACGTGACCACCGATGTAGAAAATGTAAACTGCAGATGAAAAGTGTGCAACGCAGCATGGAGAGAGATGCATGTAGATAATTACAATGAGACTTGGGGGGGAAGGGCAGAAAAAGAAGCTCATGGATATAAAACATGGAGGGGTTGGAGACGTAATTTTCACTATCAGGCTTGGGCAGCACGCAGCTCGGCTGGCAGCGACGATGACCGGTGGTCAAGAGTAACGACTGGGCGGCAGTCAAGGAAGGGATCGTGCTAGATCCTTATCTTATATCTTGTATAGATTTACAGGGCACCTTAATCCAAGGCTCTTTACAACGATTATAACATTGTACAAAATATGATAGTGGTCAAAATAAAGTGGGGCTATTAAAAGGGTGGTACAGTTATGGTGACAGGAGGACAGATGTAGTGACAGGGGTAGTGATAGGGGTAGTGATAGAGTTAGTAATAGGAGTAGTGATAGGGGTAGTGATTTGGGGTTGGGATCGGGGGCAGGGAGTAGCAGTGGTAGGTTGATGATGGGCTAGGGTAGAAGAGATGGTGTTGTTTTAAGGGAGGAACGGAAGCTGGTTCGTGAAGATGGTTGCTCTGTCTGCTGCAGTGGGAGTTAGTTCCAGTGAAGAGGAGCAAGAAGAGAGGAACAGGAGAGATTGCAGAGATGGAACGACGAAATAACCTCGAGCGCAGTCGCTAGGTGATTGTTATATTGCAGTGGCGTGAATGGCTTGGGGGAGGCCTTCATCCACCAGTAGATTGATCATGGCTGATGACAATGCATTCATACTGCCTCATGAAAAGGTAAAGGTGCAGGGCCTGCAACTGCTTGCTCAGGCCGTGAGAGCAAGCTCGCGAGGGTACCTAGCCTACTCTTTCACGCTGACCCCGACGCGTCGGAAGAGGTGGCCGTACCCACACGTCACCCCACCACACGTGACCTGCCCGTCGACTGCGGTGCGCCCGCGTTCGCTGCCAGGTGGACAGAGGCGGCGAGGAGTGCGGTGGTTGAGAATCTTGCGCCGTTGCGACCGCCCGCGCCCGCAGAACGCATCGGACTGGGACAGCAAGGCCGGCGCGCTGCCACCCTTTACCACCGTGACAGCTGCCTCTTTTGCCGCGCTAATAATTTGCATGCCAAGAAATACATACGATGGTTATTCATCTCTAATTGTACCATGATGTCAAAATGTCTTGAAACTGCAGATGTGGCTCACCTGGTCGCGGAGCAACCACGCCCCTCGGCTACAGCCAATCCCGGCCAGACGACACTCAAGCCCGGCCAGACGACACTCAAGCCCGGCCAGACGACACTCAAGCCCGGCCAGACGACACTCAAGCCCGGCCAGACGACACTCAAGCCCGGCCAGACGACACTCAAGCCCGGCGAGACCAAACCTCTGGACCCGTGCACGGATGTGGAGTGTTTGAATGACGGAGTCTGCCTCGTGCAAGATGGGAATGCTCTTTGCTTGTAAGATATGCATCATGACCCCTGTATGTGCGTGTGTGTGCGAATTGTGAGGGAGCGGTGGTGTAGCGGTTAGCACGCTGTGCTACGAACATGGCGACTCGGGTTCGATTTCTGCTCACGGCCAGCACCTGTGTCGATTATTTGAACTGGTCCTGGGCCTCCCCTAGGGCAACTCAGCCTCAAATGAATACCTGGTGTGATTTTAAACACTTGTCCCAACAGTCTGGACAGGCTATACGGGGATCTTTGTCGCAGTCGTCTTGTGTGTGTGTGACCTAGGGTTGCCACCTGTTAGGGTATGACTATGATAATGCAGGGATTGGCATCTGTGTTTGGATGGCAGCAATTAATTTGTACCGAGGTCCTGTACCGGTATTGTGTTGAATTGTATTACAGCTTAGCCTTCGGCTGCCTGAGAAATGTGTGCGGGTTTGGTCTTAAGTGGGAAAGGTGGTACCCCTAGTGTTGTGCTGCGTGTGTTTTACCATCAAGGTGTTCTCTGCCAGCAGTGATTCATCTTGTACTGCCTTCTCTGTGGCCTGTGCGTGTGTGTACAACGGTGACAATGGTGTTTTTTTACAGTAGAGCAAAATATTTGAGTAAAATATCTGAACACGGCCTTAAAACAAGTCAAGAGTTACCGTATTTCCGGCTCAAATGAGCATTGAGGCGCTGCTCATCTGTTTACAGCCCTGAACTAGTGGTGGAAAATTCCACATTCCTATGGTGGGGGTAAGTCTATCCATTGAATACCTAAAATGTAGGCTTTCCTAGGCAATATTTGTTCTGAGTCGGGCTACATGGTAGAGTTACACCCGAATTATTATCATTAACCCTAAACCACCCACCAAGATTGTCAGTTTACAATGATATTATTTATATGTAACCAATGTACTAATCTATAAAGCCCCTCGTCAGTGGCTTAACACTTACAGTAAGATGAGAGGGGAGATGTAGGAGAGTGTGTGGAGGGGAGTAGAGTGAAATGAGAGGTAGGAGAGTGTGGAGGGGAGTAGACTGAGATGAGAGGTAGGAGAGTGTGGAGAGGAGAGTACAGCGAGATGAGAGGGGAGAGGTAGGAGAGTACAGTAATTGGGGTGATTGCATGGGGAGGCTTTCGTCCAGCAGTGGATTGATTAAGGCCAATGATGATGATGCCATTCTGTGCTCTCTTGTCTATGAGGTGTCGTGCCGGACGCTGTGGTGGCGAGATGTTAACTCCCTCTCCTGGTATGCAGGAGGTCGTAGGTTTGATCCCAACCCTGACGCCTGCTATATATTTGGAATTAGCATGTTCTCCCCGTGACCATATGGATTTGTCTCTGGGTTCTCCGTTTTTTCCCTTCACATTTAGAATAAAAATGCGTTTAAAGTATTTGGCTGCCACTATATGTTTCCACACGATCAGCTACTTCGTTGAGCTATCATTTGTGATGGCAGGGTCGCTTCTGAAAAAGAGCTACACAGCTCAGTGGGCTTCACCTGGTAACATAAGAATAAATTTCGATTTAAAGCTTTCTTGACTGCAGGGATTCATCTTCTTGATTCGTTCGGTAAAGTTACGTAGAAGGGAAATAATAAAATAATAAAAATAAAACATAATAAAATAATTCTCACGACGTTTCGGCCACGACGCAAGCAGCCGTCCTCAGGTGAAGACCAGGTCTGTCGGGGAGACGCTGTCTCCCGACCTGGTCTTCACCGCTGTCTCCCGACCTGGTCTTCACCTGAGGACGGCTGCTTGCGTTGTGGCCGAAACGTCGTGAGAATTATTTTATTATGTTTTATTTTTATTATTTTCCTTCTACGTGACTTTACCGAAAGAACCAAGAAGAACATAATACTATAGTTTGTATTTTCTGACCGGGTCGCTGTACATGATGTGCAGTTGCCCGCCTCTGGCCGACGGCTGGTACAAGGACGATCGCTGCAAGCGGGGCTCTGATTCGGACATCGTGATCCCCGCGGCGGTGACGGGGGTGGTGGTGTTCGTGGTGATGCTCGCCGCCTCGGGCCTCACCTTTTTCCTCCTGAAGAGGAAGAATAAGAAACGAGCTGCCCACAAGCAGGTGGGTACAACGTGATGTTGTTGCACACGCGTAGGCGTAGAGGACTTCCAGATGCGTGGTTGTTCTTTCTTTAGGCATTTTTCGAACGGACCGATGCACGGCAAAAATTCCTGATCACCTAGCGTGTTTTTCCATTAACCCTTCTGTACCTTTCCCTTTCAACTCTCCCGGGCCAATCACCTTCCACCCCTCCTCTCGCTCCCCCCGACTCAGGTGAGTGGTGGGTGGTCCCATTGACCTCGTGCCCCCATCCCTTGTGTAATGCGGATTCGTGGCGATGTAGCATATGTGAGTTATGCACACGGCTGGGCTTGTTTTGTATTGGCGACGGCCAGACCAGCAGTCCCCCGATGGTTGTTATTGGCGTTCGTTCCCAGCAACCCTTCGTGAAGCATAGACTGCATGAATGGGGAAGTTAACTATTTTCTGTCACTTTTTGTACTTGCATACTGGATAAGCGGGTGTATTATGAAATTTAATTCGGGGAGTGTTTTGAAATTGCTCTAAACACCGATTGATATTGCCAAATTTGTGTCGTAAGACCTCCACTATCTGGCATTGTGAAACATTAATATTCACGTGTACAAGTTATCATTTTACTTGTAAACATGTTAAAACCTGCGCATCTCATGTATGAAGCTTGTATTAAACAATGCAACGTCGTCCTCCTCCACTCCCTCCTCCTTCCCCACTTCCTCCACTTGACATTTCCCATCCAGTTTCCTCACATGACACGTCCAGCACCATTTGCGTCTCTAAAGAGTCCTTGAACCCAACCTTACGGCTCAGATTCCCCATTGTTTAGTCAAAGTCAAGGTGATGTCCGGCTGCTCATTTGAGTAACGAGGCAGTGTTCATCTCCTGTTTACAGCCCGGCAGAGCCAGTGGTGGAAATTGCTCAATCCTCATATTGGACAGCCCACTTATTTACTTGCAGGGCACCGTGGTGGCCAGATGTGAACTACCTTGCCTGGTATTCAGGAGGTCGTGGATTCAATCCTGACCATGATGCCCATTTATTTGGAGATTGCACGTCTCTCTCTATCCGTGGTCGTGTGCATTTTACTCCGGGTTTTCCCTCCATATTTATAAACGTGTGTTTAGAGTATTTGGATGCTATAAATTCCCACATGATAAGCCACTTTGTCGAGCTATTATTTGTGGACAGGTCTCTTCTGATAAAAAGCTACATAGCTTAGTGGGCCTTACCTGGTAAATAAAATTAGTTTAGAGGGTTTTTTTTACTTCTCCATGAAGTAGTGGTCTATTTATCAACCTTTGAGGGATAATGGGAAACCAATCGTACAGCACATTATGTAAGGGCATTGGCCGCACGTTGTTTTAACTGTTTTCTGTCCGTAATGCGTGTCATTTACAGACAAAGAGCCAGAATGCTACTAACTTGTGAGAGGTGAGGGGGCATTCACTCGATATCAGCTGGGATGCTTGAGTAGCTGAGTAGCAAACATCACCACTAACATTCAGAGTCAAAGGAACAACGCAAGACCTCTGATTGAGAAATCTTCTGGGAATTGTAAATTGAAAATGTTTATCTGTTATTAAAGAGTAATTTTAACATTTATTTCCAATTGGTTAAACATATGTTAATTAATTGTACAGGCATTACGTGTGATATTTGAAATATGCACAATACCTTTGGGGTATGAAACGTCATGTACACATGAATAGTAGGTTATTATATGTAACTGTGTGTTTTACTCAGATTGTTTAAAATTATATTTGGGAAGTGTTGACAGCCAATTATGTGAGCTCAATGTCGTTGCCGTAACATATTAGAAAAAAAGACATCTATATAATAAAAATGATAATGTACACAATGGCGCTGGTAAATAATAAACTGTTTGCAATTCCTGTAGCGTGTGTGTGTTTTGTTGAAGCTATCTGTCTGGAAGCTACTCGGCCTATCACTCCGGATGACAATGTGGGTCTTATCGGCTACAGTTGTGTCTTCCCTTCTTTATGCTTGCGAAACGTGGTGCCCTTTCTGAAGCATTCAGGCTTTCCGGATTCATCCCGGATTTAACAAGACTGAATTGTGTGAGTAGCTCACAAATCCTTGAAAGACCTTACCACAGGCCTATCAGTAAACTCCTATGGCAGGTGAAGATGCGTTGGCTGGGTCATGTAACCCGCATACCCAACCACCGAATGCCCGAGCAGCTTCTTGTTAGCCAGATAGAGGGGGGTAAATGGGAACAACATGGTTTAGAGAAGAGATGGGCCGATGCAGTACAGGAAGATGTGGAGCTGAGTAGACTTGCCGATGACTTGTACAAGATTGATCTCTATGTAGGAGGCGCATAAAGGACACTACTTGGCAGTTGGAGACAGTTGCTCTCCAACAACAACGGAAGGCAGAAGAGCGATGCTCATAACAAGCAGAGCACCGGGCAACTAAAATGCAGCAACTGGGCACAGTGGTGAGTACAGGTGTAGTGGCATAGAATAGTAATGTAGCAGCATAGCGCTGGCTGCTGGCAGGGAAGGGGATCTGCGGCTTTCAGCAGCCCTGACGTCAGCAGGCCAGGTTATACACCAGAGGGGGGTCTAGGGGAAATGTCACAGAAGGGCACACCAAGAACCACTGGTAGGTTCTAGAAAGGGGGCGTGGCCGGGAGCGGAGCCAGGCCACGCTGACAGTATAAGAGAGGACCCCTGAAGGGGACCTCGGAGCTGTCGTATGGAGTGGGATCCCCGTTGTGCTGCTGAAATCTTCACCATTCTTCTCGTCATTCTTGTCGTCTTCACCATCCTTCTTGTCGTCGTCTCCGTCTTCACCATCTCGGGGCGTCACCAGTCAGGCAGCCTACCAACTGTCCTGACTGAGAAACGTCGCCGACCATAGACTAACAGTTAACCCCGATGGTGCTTGTTAATAAAGAAGTGCCTCCAACTCTTAGTGTCCCCGAGTTAGTCACTACACAGGTGGTGCATCTGCCAGCTATTCCAATCAACCCATAACACCAGGGTCTGCCCCGGGACCTGTCAGCAGCGAGAGCCCTAAACACTTAACTTGGCCTCAAGGTGCACCTAGCCTAGCACAGGCACTGTGGTGATGTTACTGCAACTTATTGGCGAAGGGCGGTTGTTGAGATGAAGCGAGTCACTCAGCCACGCCTTTTTGCTTAAATGTCAGGGTCCAGTTCCTCCCTAACCCTGCAAGATTTAAGTTAGGGTTGGTAAATAAAAGTTTTGCATTACCGGTAACCACATGAGAAACAGTTAAATACTGGTTATCGGTTTGCGGCACACATAGACAGCTCTCGAGCAATAAACATAACATTTTTTTTTTAATTGGAGTGCTTCTAATGTTGTGTAATGGTCAGGGCACTGGACTTGCAATGCCGAGGTAATCGATTCGACTCCATTTCCCACGCAGCAGTAGAGACAGTGGGGGCACGTCTCATAAACCCTCCCGTCCACACTGAGTAGTGTATGTGCTAAACCGGCAACACGTGCCACGAAGTGGATAACAAAGAGGGAGGTTAAGTGTGGGTACATCCGACCTCTTCCTACTCTATTTATGCTTTAAATCATTGGTTCTCAGCTGGGGGTAGGCAGACTCCTGGAGGTACCTGGCAATGTCCCAGGGGGTACGTGAGGTTATTTATAAATGTGAAATTATAGCATACGTGAGAGTCATTGGTGAATAACCATGTAAGAATCTTCCAATGTAAACTATGATACATTTTAATCCGTATGGTAACCTAAAGCGATATAAAATACGTTTCTAAACTCATTGATCGTAAACAATGTGGTTTCCAAGAGTAACCAGCGAGTACCAACAAATAACATCATGAACGCTGATCGTCCGTTTATTTGTTTTATTCGCTTGCAGTTACTAGGGTGTTAGGATACCTCACAAAATTGACAATTGCTTAAAATATTGACGTTCATTATTCGTATATTTAGTTCTCAGAACCAGTCAAGGGGGTACTTGGTTGAAATAAAACTCAACAAGGTGGGCACAGTTGCCAAAAAGAGTTGAGAACCACTGTTCTCAATGGTTCGTGGTTCCTGCTATGTGACGGGGGCATAGTTGTCCGCTTACTCATCGTGTTACTTATATTCTCCACCACGACGTTCACGAGCATGCCGTCCAAATTACAACTCGAGGTTGTGAAGCTTTTCACCTTGCTCGGGGCTCTTCCCCACCCACCCACCAACGGTGGCGGGACCAGGGCGTCCGCAGCCGATGCCCGAGCACCTCCGGATTAACACGGTTGACTATGTACGGTGAAAATGAAGTTAAACGTACGGTACATACATCATATATATGCACACCTGTCAAGCCAAACGGTTTAACCGTATTCTTGTGCAGGGAAATTGAGTTTTCATGTCCTTATGGCATACAGCCGTTTCAGACGTTTCAATTTGGGAAAACAAAATTCATACGGCCAAATTAAAACAATCGTGGGCCAGGTTTTTTTTTTTATCTTGGAGAGTCGCGATCCCCGTATCATCCACATATCAAGCAAGCAGCATGCAAGATCACATACAATAGCATAGGCAGCATCATTAACACGAATTTTCAAAATTAATACACAAAACAGTTTTTTGTTTAGGAACATACATTTGTCTATTTGTTTGCGTTTCTCCCTTGTGATGGGACTGTAGGATGAACGTCGAGATTTGCCGCTAAGTGGCGGTGACATTACCACGACGCTTGTGCCAGACTATGTGCACAACCCAGGTGCCACGGGTCGACTGACACACAAACACACTCAGACGAAGACCCCCATTTCGCCTTAACGTGCTTTTGGAGCAAGTGCTGTTCCTGAGCAGCATAAATGGGGGTCGGCATGGCACAGGAGGAGGTGTGTGGGTAGCACCAGGCCCGGCCGCCTTTGTCTCCCGAAGTCACAGGGAGCAGCACCCATGCTCGTGTGAAGTGCACGGAGAGTATATGGCAGAGTGCTTGAGCAGCCCGAGAGAGCCACGGCAGAAGGACTACGACGCCATGGCGGAGGTGACGGTGGTGAAGGAGGGCTGGTTCTACAAGCGTGCTGCAAACATATGACTCGGGCGATGAGAAATCAGGCGCACAGGCCGACAAGACGGAACTGCAGACCACTCTCCGCTCGCTGTCCTCCAAGCTCGAGGATATGAGCACATGCAATGACCTGATCGGCAAACACGGAGCCGCTCTCCAGCGCTCGCTCAACGACCTGGAAACCCTTAAGCTGCCACCCGAGTGCAGCGAGAAGCTAAAGGCCGTCAATGAGCGCGCCACCCTTTTCCGCTTCACCTCCAATGCTATGATCAATAGTGATCTTTTGCTCTAATGTCATATTGAGGGCGGTGCTCATCTCCAAAAACTCAAGCACACGGGCGAGAAGCCGTGCATGTGTAGTGGCGGTGCGCGCTGACAAGGTGGGGGCGTGTGTGTGCGCGCGCCGGGCGTGGCTACATCGAGTGTGGGGGTGTTGACGCACGCCGACAGTGATGGATCACGGGGCGGCGCTGGGTGCGTGGTTGTGCGCGCAGACACGATATGGGAAATAGGATCGTGGGCAGCGCGCAGAGTGATTGGTCAACTGGGGTGGGTGCTCTCAACGACGTCCGCATGGAGGACTATAAAGGGGGACGCGCGGGAGCACTCGGGGAGTTGTTACCAGCTGAAGATCGAAGACGGAGTTGAAGAGATAGGGCCCTGAGACCCCTAGCCCCGCTGTCCTTGTAAGGGCCGGGACCCTGTGCGGCTCAGAGGCAAGGCTGTGGGACCCGTGGCCTGACGTCCATGTGGGACCAGGCTGTGGGACCCAGGGTCGAGACTAATAACCCAGCCGGGTGGGTTCCGAGAAGCTACGGGGCGTAAGAGCCCGTGTGGGTGTAGCCAGGGGAACCTCGTGGGTTATGTGGCAGTTAGCCACCCGTGTAATATAAGTTGGTGTTAATAAAAGGTGTGCTACCCATCAGAGTCGTCTCCCGCCAAGTTACTACTTTACAACTGGCGTCAGAAGTAAACCTGTCTTCAAAACGATGGATACTAGGAAGACTACCCGTACCCACGAGCGAGATCGGGAAGACGACGGCGTACCGGAGCCACAAGCCTCGGGAGGCGAGGACGAAGAGATGCCGCCGATGCAGCACCTCGCGGCGATGGCCGACGCTCCGCTCGCCTCCAACACCGGCCTTCAGGATGCACACTCCCGCCTGGCGTAGTTGCTGCTCGCCGCCGCTTCGATTTTGTCAGAAATCACTGCTTCAGGAGGCGGGAGGACGACTACGAGGTTGGAGGAGGGAGCGCGGTCGGCGGAATCCCGCCAGAACGCGCTTCGCGCCGAAAGTTTTGAAATTAGCGCCATTTTTGAGGGTCCACCATCGATTGGCGGGAAGCGTGGACACCACGTGGTCGGGGACCTCCACTCTACACAGCCCGCGTCATTGGCGCGCGCCGAAACTCTCCACCATGCGCCTGCCGACGGAGTCGACATTTTCGTTAACCACAGCGGTGCGCGGGAAAAGCATTCATCGGGGGACGACGACCAGGTCTTCCAACAGAGACTGCCCGCGCTGACGGCGTTCAAGGCGGACGGGGGCGACTGGGGGGCCTTCCAACGAAGGTTCCTCGCGCATCAAGAGATGTCGGGGTGGTCCGACACCACTGCCCTACGCGCGCTGCCGGCGACGCTCGACGACGACGCACTTGCGGCCTTCACATCCGCCCAAAGGTCGTCCCGCTCAACGCTCCAGGCCGCGCTACATCTCATGGCTAAGGTGTTCGGACCGCCCTCGACCTGTCGCCACCAGTTTTACGAACGGCGTAAGATGGATGGAGAAACTACGCTCGCCTATCGCACGTCGCTGCTCGCCCTGGCGGACGCCGCTTTTCCCCGCATGGACAAGGAGGGG